GCACAAGACGGGACCGGAAAAGGCCTCTGGAGATGGGCATGCAAACACTGTCGTAAGCAACAGAACGATCCAAAACAGTCAATCCGTGGGTGGCGTTTACACGGTTCAAGACGTGCCCCGGCTGGGCGCCCTGCCAGACGTAGCGTTTCGTGTCTGTGTGTGTACGTGTGGACTTCGTCTCTTTTCTCTCTCTTTTTTTTTTAAACCTTTTTTTGTCATTACATTAAAAAATAAGATTTGTAACTTCAGTAAAACCCAGCAGACGAGCTGATCTTTTTCTTTTCCCGGTGCGGTTGGAAAACAAGGAAACAAAATAATAATAATAATAATTAAAAAAAATATACCTGGAACGAAGTAAGACCGGGGGAGGAAAAAAAGAGGGGGGAAAAAAGGATACTGGATTGGTAAATGGGCGGTTCCCAAAGCTGCGGAAGTACCGACAGGGCCAGAGGAAATACCCCAATCTCCCCCCACCCCAAGCCCCTCCTTCCTTCCCTGCGTGTCTTCCCCTCCTGCTGACGTTTGAACTTCACGCCTCTTCTTACATCCTCTCTGCAGGAATACGAGTCTGGTCCTAGGGAGAAATGAAAGTCGGAAGGAAGGATGGAAGTGTAGGTATGTGGCAGGGGTGTGTGTGTCCTGATCCACGAAGAGGAATCGGCGTGGGAAAGTGTGTGGAAGGCTAGGAACATGCCACTAAAATATTACTAGATCCTCCTTAGCCAACTGGATTCATACAGGATGGGCGGGGGGGTGAGTGGGGAAACCGGCACCGGGGGGCGCGCGCGGGGGCAGTTCTGTTATTCCTTCTCAGGTGTGCATCTTCGGGTGGAAGAGATACAGGAGAACGCTCCCCACGGGAGGCGAGAGGAGCCGGCTTTCCCACCCCCGCCGTGCCCACCCACCGAGGTTCATTGGGGATATGCACGAGTCCAATATGTTTACCGAAGTATAGTCCTTTTCAGTGGCGGGTTCCGATTCCTGATTTTTTTAAAAAAAACCCAAAATTGATGCGCTCGGATGCGCTCGCTCCCTTCCTCGCCCCCCCCGACCCCACCCCGACACACGTGCACGTGGGGCGGGGTGGGGGAGAGGCGGATCGCAGGAAGTGGTGGAGAAGGCGTGTCCGGAGGAAGCCCCGCCTCCGGCCTCGGCCTCACTGGTAAAGCTCGGCGGCTTTGATATGCTCTAGCTGTTCCCGTAATTGGTGGAAGGAAGGCCGGTGGGCGGGGTCCAAGTGCCAGCACTTCTTCATCACTTCGTAGACAATCTGGGGGCAGCCGTCGGGGGAGTCCATCTTGTATCCCTTCTCCACGCGAGGGACCACGTCCTTGCAACGGCTGCGGGGGGGGGGGGGGAGACAAGCAAAGAAGAGGTTAAGGACGGAAGAACCAGACGGGTTGGACCGAGCTGCAGAGTGTCCGGCACTCCGGCTAGGACCTGTGGGTCCGTCTAGCTAGCAGCAGCAAAATGTACTCGCTAATGACCTGCCTGTGGCACAAGAAACCGTGGCGTACGGTCTCCCGGAAGGTCAGGGGAGAGAAGGCTTCAGCCTGTGTTTGAGAAATTTGCATTTCATCCACAAGCCTCTCAGGCACAGTGTTTCCACTCCCCGGGGATGGGGTGGGTGGGTCAGGGCCTCGATTCCTAGCTCTTTTCTGGGCCTCTCTGCAGCCTACCTTGCAGGGATGGCATCAGGCAGGAGGAAAGACCCATGCTTCCACTTTTACTCCCCACCCTGTCCAAAGCCTTCTCTATGAGACAGCCACCTCCCCAGCCTAACCCCTTTTTTTTGGGGGGGGGCAGGTTTAAGAACATGAGATCGGACCAGTGATCCACCTTAGGTCCAGCGTCCTGTCACTAAGTGGCCAACAAGTTCCTCTGGAGGGCCAACAACAGGGCACAGAGGCCCTTATAAGAACATAAGAGTCCAGCTTGATCAGACCATCGATCCATCTAGTCCAGCAAGCATCTCTCTAACACAGTGACCAACCAGTTCCTCTGGACAGCCAACAACAGGGCAGAGAGGCCAAGGCTTTCCTAAGGATATAAGGAGAGCCCTGCTGGATCAGACCAGTGGTCCATCTAGTCCAGCATCCTGTCTCGCACAGTGGCCAACCAGTTCCTCTGGAGGGCCAACATCAGGGCAGAGAGGCTGAGGCCTTCATAAGTACCTCAGAAGAGCTCTGCTGGATCAGACCCGCGGTCCATCCAGCCCAGCATCCTGTCTCGCACAGTGGCCAACCAGTTCCTCTGGAGGGCCAACATCAGGGCAGAGAGGCTGAGGCCTTCATAAGTACCTCAGAAGAGCTCTGCTGGATCAGACCCGCGGTCCATCCAGCCCAGCATCCTGTCTCGCACAGTGGCCAACCAGTTCCTCTGGAGGGCCAACATCAGGGCAGAGAGGCTGAGGCCTTCATAAGTACCTCAGAAGAGCTCTGCTGGATCAGACCCGCGGTCCATCCAGCCCAGCATCCTGTCTCGCACAGTGGCCAACCAGTTCCTCTGGAGGGCCAACATCAGGGCAGAGAGGCTGAGGCCTTCATAAGTACCTCAGAAGAGCTCTGCTGGATCAGACCCGCGGTCCATCCAGCCCAGCATCCTGTCTCGCACAGTGGCCAACCAGTTCCTCTGGAGGGCCAACATCAGGGCAGAGAGGCTGAGGCCTTCATAAGTACCTCAGAAGAGCTCTGCTGGATCAGACCCGCGGTCCATCCAGCCCAGCATCCTGTCTCGCACAGTGGCCAACCAGTTCCTCTGGAGGGCCAACATCAGGGCAGAGAGGCTGAGGCCTTCATAAGTACCTCAGAAGAGCTCTGCTGGATCAGACCCGCGGTCCATCCAGCCCAGCATCCTGTCTCGCACAGTGGCCAACCAGTTCCTCTGGAGGTCCAGCAACAGGGGACAGAGGCTGAGGCCTCCCCTTAATGTTGCCTCCTGGCGCAGGGATTCAGAGGTCGGCTGCCTGCCTCTGAACACGGAGGTTCCCTTTAGTCACCATGGCGAGTAGCCACTGGCAGACCTCTCCTCCATGAATCTCTCTAAAGTCTCTAAAATCGCTCTCTCTTTAAAGAGGTCTATTCCTATGGCCATCCCAACATCCTCCGGCAACAAAGTCCACATTTTAAGAGCCCTCCTGGATCAGACCAGTGGCTCATCCAATCCAGCCCCACACAGTGGCCATCCAGTTCCTTTGGGGGGCCAACGACAGGCCACAGAGGCCTTCCCCCAATATTGCCTCCTGGCACTGGGATTCAGGGGTTGATCTCCCTCCTCGCCACCCCTAACTATTCTGAACCGTTCACCCCTGTGCCGGAGGAAAAGGGCCAGGATCCGCTCCAACACAGCTGCAGGATACAAACTTTTCCCTCTCACCTTCCTCTGTCTTGCACAGGTGGAACTCGGAACTGGCCAATGTCTGCTTCAGATCTCGCCTCTGGAGTCTGAAAACCCGAAGCCGCCCCATCTCCATCCTGGCCTACACTCGCAGCAGAACTGGGTGACGGAATCCCGGTGCCGTCCAGCGGACTGCACACGAGGGGGGCCGTTTCCAAAAAGTCCCCGCCACTCAAATCCCCCTTCTTTGCATGTAAAAATCACCCCCAAGAAGCCGTTGAAAACAGGAACAAAGGGGGTGTGTGTCTCTGGAGCCCGCCTGCTGCCTTCCTCCTTCCGTCCCACAAAGACGGGCAGACCCCGGAGCTGCCCCGGAAAGGAACACACAGAGAAAATGCGAGGCCCACACTTACAATTCTCGGATAAGGCACTCGCCCGAAGGAGTAGATTTCCCAGAGAAGTATTCCAAAGCTCCACACGTCCGACTTGGTGGAAAATTTCTGCAAAGGACAGACAAAGGGCCCATTGAGAGAAATAAAGGGACAGTCACAGGAACGGAACGCAGCCATCAGCCAGTGGCCGTCTGTTGCTTCCTCCTACTGAGTCAGACACTGCATTTATCGAGGTCAGGATTGTCTACTCAGACTGGCAGCAGCGGCTCTCCAGGGTCCCAGGCAAGGGGTTCTCCCATCACCTACTTCCTGGTCCTTTTAACTGGAGATGCCGGGGATTGAACCTGGGACCTTCTGCATGCCAAGCAGAGGCTCTATCATTGAGCCTGGGTCTCAGATCAAGGCATTTCACACTGAGCACTTTGTTTAAATTAGGATTTTTTAAATATGTACTGTATGTTTTTAAATTATATGTATATTGTGTTCTATCATGGCAAGGCTTCGCCTGGCCCCTGTAAGCCGCCCTGAGCCCACGGGGAGGGCGGGGTATAAATACGAAAAATAAAATTAAAAAATAAATAAAAAATAAAAGAAAAAAATACTTATGACCTGACCCTTTTAACTGGAGATGCCAGGGATTGAACCTGGGACCTCCTGCACGCCAAGCAGATGCTCTTCCACTGGAGCCGGGGTCTCAGGTCAGGGTCTTTCCTATCACCTACTACCTGGTCTTTTTAACTGGAGATGCCGGGGATTGAACCTGGGACCTTCTGCATGCCAAGCAGGTGCTCTTCCACTGAGCCAGGGACTCAGGTCAGGGTCTTTCCTATCACCTACTACCTGGTCTTTTTAACTGGAAATGCGATTGAATCTGGGACCTTCTGCATGCCAAGCAGGTGCTCTTCCACTGAGCCAGGGTCTCAGGTCAGGGTATTTCCTATCACCAACTACCTGGTCTTTAACTGGAGATGCCAGGGATTGAACCTGGGACCTTCTGCACGCCAAGCAGATGCTCTTTCCACTGAGTCAAGGTCTTTCCCATTATTTACTACCTCATCTGTTTAACTGGAGATGCCGGGGAGAGAACCTGGGACCCTCCATATGCTGAGCAGATGCCCTGCCTCTCCCTTTCACGAACACATATGAAGCTGCTGTATAGTGAGTCAGACCACTGGTCCATCGAAGTCACTTTTGCGAACTCTGACCTGCAGCAGCTCCCCAGGGTCTCAGGCAGAGGCCTTTCACGTCACCTGCCCACTGGCCCTTTTTAAGTGGAGATGCCAAGGATCGAACCTGGGACCTTCTGCATGTAAATCAGAGACTCTGCCGCTGAGCTACATCTTCCTCCTCAAACCAAGGTGCCTTCTCCTGAGACACGCCTACATCACACGAATTCCAGACGGGTGATTTGCGGCAGTATGAGGATCCCCATTCCCAAAGAATAGCAGCTCCACTATGCAAGAGCAAAGCAAATCACCTGGTTATCAAAGCACCAGTGAGGCCTCATGAGATCAGCCCATTTGGCTCCATCACCAACCGCATGCATTCTGGCTTAAGAACACCAGGAGAGCCCTGCTGGATCAGACCAGTGGTCCATCGAGTCCAGCATCCCGTCTCACACGGTGGCCAACCAGTTCCTCTGGAGGTCCAGCAACAGGGCAGAGAGGCTGAGGCCTTCATTAGAACATCAGAAGGGCCCTGGTGGATCAGACCAGTGGTCCATCCAGTCCAGCATCCTGTCTCACACGCTGGCCAACCAGTTACTCTGGAGGGCCAACAACAGGGCACAGAGGCCGAGGCCTTCATAAGAACATCAGAAGAGCCTTGCTGGATCAGACCAGGGGTCCATCTAGCCCAGCATCCTGTCTCACACGGTGGCCAACCAGTTACTCTGGAGGGCCAACAACAGGGCACAGAGGCCGAGGCCTTCATTAGAACATAAGTAGTGCCACGCTGGATCAGACCAGGGGTCCATCTAGCCCAGCATCCTGTCTCACACGGTGGCCAACCAGTTACTCTGGAGGGCCAACAACAGGGCAGAGAGGCCGAGGCCTTCCCCGATGTTGCCTCCTGGCTCTGGGATGCAGAGGCTTAGTGCCTCCGAATGTGGGGGTCCCCCTCAGTCACCGGGGCTAGCAGGCATTGCTAGACTTATCCCCTTTGAAAGCTGTGTATTCCTGGGACTACCACTGCATCCTCTGGCAGTGAATCCCACACTTTCATCGCTCTCTGTGTAAAGTAGTATTTCCTTCCGTCCGTCCTGAACCTACTGCCCGTCAGCTTCATTGGACGCCCTCGAGTTCTAGTCTTCTGGGAGGGGGAGAAAAAGTTCTCTTTGTCCACTCTCTCCACCCCCAGGCATAAGCGTATAAACCTCTGTCACGTCCCCCCAATTCGTCTCTTTTCTCAACTGAAAAGCCCCAGACTCCTCAACCTTTCCCCGTGGGGAAGGCGCTCCACCCCTTCTCCACCCCCTCACCTTTTCTCTAAGTGCTTCTGGGGCGGTCCACTTCACCGGCAGCTTGCCCGTGTCCTGGGTGGACGAGGCTTCTTTCGTCAGCCCAAAATCACTGACTTTGGCGATGTTGTCCTCCGAGACCAGCACGTTCCTCGCCGCCAAGTCTCGGTGGACGAAGTTGTTGGCTTCCAAGTAGGCCATCGCTTCGCAGACGTCTCTGCAGGGAGGGGACAAACGGCCATTTAAAAGAGGCTTTGTGGGGAACTGGACCAGAGCTAGACGCCCCTCAGTTCCCCCGGGTGGTGGCAGAAAGTGCCGTCAAGTCACGGCTGGCTTACGGCGACCCTACAAAGCTTTCGAGACAAGAGATGTTTAGAGGCGGTTCTGCCATCGCCTGCCTCTGCGTAGGAACCCTGGGCTTCCTCGGCGGTCCCGCCTATGAGTACTTACCAGGACTGACCCTGCTTAGCTTCCGAGATCTGAGGAGATCAGGTTAATCTGGGCCATCCACCTCGAGGCAAGGGACATTCAGAGGCGGTTGGCCATGGCCTGCCTCTGCGTAGCAACCCTGGTCTTCCTTGGTGGCCTCACACCCAAGGACGAGCCACAGCTGACCCTGCGTAGCTCCTGAGATCTGAGGAGACCAAGCTAGCCTGGGCCATTTAGGCCAAGGCAAGAGGCGTTCAGAGGTGGGTTTGCCACTGCCTGCCTCTGCGTAGCAACCCTGGACTTCCCTGGTGGTCTCCCATCCAAATACGAACCAAGGCCGACCCTGCTTAGCTTCCGAGATCGAACAAGATTGGGCTAGCGTGAGCTATCCAGACCAGGGCTCTGTTCCCCTTAGGTGAAAATAATCAGAGCCGTTATTATTGTAGGGACTGGAAGAAGCCACCTGTATGGGGGAAACCTATGCTTTATACGAGGCTCGAAGGAAGGGGGGAAATCTGCTTGGATCCAGGTCGTCATCAATGTATTCCGCTTATATGACCAAAGGTATTAAGCATATTTAAATCAGAAATGCAGATGTACAG